CCTTATTTTAACCGCTTAACAAAATAGTCTATGGTGTTAGGCATATCGGTGGAAATGTAATAAACCCCAGAACTTCTATAATTTTGAAAAATGCATACTTTTTTTTGTTATCGAATTTTGAATTCGATGATTTTTATTAGCTACACCCAATTTTACGATTTTGGAAGGTCAAAAGTCATTTTTGGGGCTCTTTATAAAGACTATTTATTTTCTCTGATTGAGCACGCGTTAGAGAACTCAACCCCTTTTTCTTTAACAACGATATTTATGCGTAATTTTCAGCATAAAAACGAAAAAAAAATATGTATGTATATATTCTCAGTAACCGTAATACCTAAGAGCATTATAGTTTTCAGTAAAAATCATTAAAAAGCCTCCCCAATCACCCAGAAAATGTTGCTGGTTAATGTACTGTGTAATTCGAATTCGAGTTGCATATTCTTCCAAAATTCTTTTGTGCTATTTCTATTTACCAACTAAATTAAGCAAACATTATTGAGAAATGACGTTCCCGCCCTTGGAAGTTTAAAATATTCGACTTTTAATCCGCTATGGGTCAAGAGACAAAAAAAAGTCGGAAAAAAGATGTTTCCCAATTGCAACAACAATCAAATGAGTGAGTTTTGCAATTCATCATGGATCAGAAAACAATTAAGTCAACTGACTGAATGTAATGTAAATTGATGGTAAACAAGTAACAGTTTCATCTTTATAAATTATAAGTGATTAGGACTTGAAAAATAATACAAGATTACATTGTTATTCTAAGATACCAACTGGTTTAACTTCATAAACAAACCAAATTTAAGAACTGAAAAACAATTTTAGTATGATTCCTACACAAAAACGCACTAAAAATGTATTTGTTACAAAACTGACATGGCATCAAATTCAAAAAAACGACACGAGTTAAATACAATACATAACAACCTTCTCATTACCAAAACAATACTTATGAGTATCGAGGTTTTTCTCAGAAAGGTGAAGGTTGATGTGCTGAATAAGCGCAAAACTACTAATTCAAGATGCCAGAGGCTCCATTATACAGGGTGTTTTCATAGTTGAGTTATTTATTTTGACAGCTTGTAGACCTCGTCAAAAGATGATACACAAAAATTCACTGATATAAAAGTTGCAGAGAGTTAGAACATTATTAAAAATTATTTAAAAAAAATCATTATCAAGTGGATACAAATTTTACAAAATCTGTTCCACTGTTTTTACAAAAGCTGTTGAAAATTGACCCCATTTGTTCGATTAACGCAAAATCTTGCTCGAGAATCCACAACTCTTTACAAGGTTCGAAAATAAAATCCTGGAGTCGACGAATTAAATCACAAGCATTTCCAATGCGCTGTTAAAATTCTTCCAGAGTATTTACTGCTCCATCATGATACACCAACTCTTTCAAGTAGCCCCACAGGAAAAAATCGCAAGGCGTTAAATCTCCTCTAAAATGTGGTGGAGCCGCATCATATAGGAACCACATATTCTGTCTCTACAATTGTAGGATGAATTTATGGCCTTCTTGATTTTCGTAGTTGTCTACAATTCAGTGTCAGCACTCTATTTTGAGGTTATATCACATCAATATCTATTTCCATCAAATTGTTAATGCTTTTGATTTATATCATCTATTTTATCAGCCTCAAATTTCCTGCAATTCAAAAAGAAAACATAACTTCACAATAGGAGAGTGCTGATGCTGCACAGAATAGTAGAAATCTAGCCTTTCTGAAAGCGAGAAACGACTATGTAAATCAAGGAGGCCATAAAGGCGCCCTACAATTGTAGGAACGACTGACGATATGGCCCTTAGATACAGAGGTAGCATTTAGTCCTTTGCATTTATGAATTTCTTTGAGAGATCCCATAACAATGTTCTTTGCGACGTGTTTGATAAACATGATAAACACTATTTAATTTTGGCTGCATGGATATTTTTCAATATACTAAAACAGTAGATTTGTCATACATCAAGAATCATACATCAAGAATGGAATAGAATGGATGTATTATTTTCAAAATACATTATTGCAATACTTTCCCATGATTCCACAAGACTGCTGCAATTGGGCCAATGCTTTGAGCAGATCTTCAATATGATCATATTAACACTTGTGTGATAAACTGGTTCCTGTATAATTAGGAAAACCAAAACAAGCGGAAGACTGACGATATTTCGAGATGTATTTTGGAAAAACCAATAAACTCAACTTCAAAAATTCCTTCAATTAACAAAATTGTATACAACAATTACAAGAAATACATAGCAATAACTAAGCATCAGTACAAAAATCTGTAAGCAGGCACTATATAATAGTGAATTAAAAAGACAGATATACTAAATATACATACACATAGTCAAGGCTCAAGTATGTAAGTATTGAAAAGTATAAACATTTATAAATGATGCAAATCAAGCCTCTCTAAATAAAATTAAACAATGCCAAGACAGTTTAAAATACGTTATCTAAAAATTGTTGCAATGTATAGGGTTCCAGTTCTATGAGGATTTTCCTTATGCTATTCCTTGAACGTATTGAAATTATTTTCCACTCCTATGTGATGAGGGTATTTTATAATAACAAAGCTGATGTGTGGATTAGTGCATGCACTATACATGCAAGTCTAACATTGAATACTCTCAACCACTTCGAATTCAGAATGGGTGACATCAGAATGATAGATCTCTGCAACCAGGGCAAGCTCACAGGAAGGAGGCCTCAGAACACAGAAATAAAGCTGTGCGATTGCTATGCTGATTCTGTCAAATAACCCAAAAAAACTGATAAATGAAAATACTTGTTGAGCAAAACTCAATAATGCAACCTCATTATAAATCCATTATGAGGACCCAGGCCCAGTGATCTATAATTTACATAGTTCCCTATGATATAAGTATCAAATGAAGAGACTTGATGAGCAAAACAATAAGTGAGGTCATTCTAAATCTAATATGGCGAACGTTTAATATGACAATGCAATATTATGATAGAGCCAGAAAGTGCCTATGTGAACTTTGTAATAAGTGATGCAAATTCCTTGCAGTACTCTGGTCCTATGGTCTGATGATAAAATTAGTTGACTATTACATATCATAACAACCATATCAAATTTCAGGTTTTCAACATCAAATAGTTTGCTAAAATGTATGTGCACTTTTTTTCTACAAGTAATTGAATGAGCATGCTCACATCTGTGGAGTATGCCTTTTGTATTCAAGTGATATATGATATATATAATCATGAAACATCATGAGAAAAATGAAGTAAGAGGTTTTATATTCCCATTCCTAAATTAAAATTAACATGTAAATTAGATAAAAATTACTATTTAATTTAACATCATAGTTACTATAAAGTAAAAAATATGAAGTATAAAAACAAGTTTTTGTTAACTATTGATAGAAAAAGATGTAAGTATTTTATATATTAAGAATTTCAAAATATTTTAGTTGATGGAATTTTAGTGCACCCAGTGTCACAATGTCAAGACAAATCTAGAGATACCTCTTATGTCAAAATCCATCAAGCTGTTTGACATGTAGCCTGTGAAATAGGATTTTTTTGTCTACGTACAAAAAAGGCACAACAATTATCTCTCCTTCTGAGACAGTCATGTTTTGGAGTCCCTAGTTAGTAGGCCACAAATTCTATCACATGTCATAAGGCAGTTCCCATATATCCAGTTCAACAGCAGGTGGACGACATGCTCCTCTTATATATTATTAGTGCAGAAGTCACGCCATTACCAATCAGTCTCTTTTTTAAAAATGAAGTTAACTTTATGACAAAATGTTTAGTTATATGTAAAACCTAGAAACATTATTTTGTCAAAAATAGATGGATTCACATATTTATTTGATAAACAAATGCTGTCCAAAAATGTAATAGAACACTTTATATTAGCTATTTTATTCCCTCATTTCAAGAAATGGGTTCCAGGAAACATAAAGGAATATAAACATATTCTTCAAGGACACAAGTGTCAATTATTAAATCAAAGTTTGCCATGAGCCATGACATTAACTGTTTTTTTAAGATGAGTGCAACCTAATGGCACACTGTCATACCCACGTTTTTGTCGAGTTATAATTGCCAGATATCAGACATTCAAAATCATCAAGCAATTATTGAAGTATTACACCAATATGGCACTTTGGAAGACTTATTAGGATGGTCTGCTCTCCGAGTTTATTTGTTAGTTTCACAGTGTTTCAATATGGTTTCATAATCGAGGATTTTATCTATATGTCACACAATGACACACTCACATACACATGTGATATCAAGGTGCTTCTAAGGCGTATTTCGATTATTCAGCGTAAATTATTCGAAACAATGACGTCAGAATACATAATTTCCTTGTCTTTCTTTTACGGCTGAAATGCGTACTATTCAATACTTATTTGTCACAGTCATTTATTGTTTGAAATTTCTACTGATAACAGCAGTTCATGTGACAGTGATGTGACAAAAATGTAATTCAGGAAACGTTTGGATTATCCGTCATGACAGGCAAGGCTAGAAAAACTTCAAGATACTTTTCTGCGTTCTGACACAAAAGAAACGTAAAATCTCTAGACATTTCGTCAGATATCTTATCTAATAAACCGGACGTAGCCAGATAATTAATAAATTCGGTTGAATAATGAAGGACCATCGAGGAGTCCTTGCACGATTCGTTTCGCCCACTCCCAAATGTCAAACGACAGACAGGTGGATTTTCCCTGCGAGTTGGATTTCCATTTGTTCCGTTTCCATTGTTATCATACCAATGGATTATTTGTTATAGAAAGTAAAACAAAGTACGTCATCGTGGTCTTTATTCACTTGTAATCACATTCACTGCTTTGCTGGGTCACATACGCAAAATCTGGTGAAATACAGTACAGTCACACTCACATTGAATGCAGCTGGATGACGTATATCTCTGAGAAGTAATTACGATAGGAATATTTCGAAATAGAATAGTGATTTCGCAGATGAAATACTTACTGATAGTTTATTCGTTGTGCCCTTTCTGGTGAAGAAACCGTCACAGTGTCACCGAATTGTCACAAATCCCAGTCCAAAATCCAAAACTCCTCTTCGAGGGAGCGCTCGCGCTGTGTTGCCCTGAATGATGATGGCTGGCCAACTAGCACACACTGATAACGATTTTGCTTCTATTCCGCCCGTAACAAGCTATTCGTACGGTGGAAACGAATGATGAAATGATACGATTACGGCTTGTGAACCTTCCAGACACGAAATTGCGACTGAAATATGGCGAAATGTAAAACAAAATGCTAGAACACAGCAGGCCCGCACCGTACGGGCTGTAGAACTGGACTGATTCACGAGGGAGGCCGATGACGACCGAGGACGGCTTCGTCACTAGTTCTACGCATGCGCCGGATTAGTAGTAAAGGAGGACGAATAGGAGCATTACATGAGTACGAGAGAGACATAAAATGAACGAAGAAAAATGTTCTGTAATCGTCGGCAATATGGCGGCTAGGTCGTTCTTGGAAAGTTGCCTGTGACTGAACGAAATGTGGGAGCAGAGCAGACAGGCAGCAAGTGGCAGTGGCGTGTGCTGAGGTTTTCATAAGTACCTTTGTTAGCACTGTCTATTTTTTGGAGTAAGTATGTAAGTATACAAAGCGTTTATTCTAATGAGTAACACCCTATTTAAACAAAAAATATTTCTAGAACCTTGACCTCAAATAACTAGGCGAGTATCAACGCTTGGACGGAAAAGTTCCTGCTTTTTACAATTCCAGTATAAAAATGAGGGGTTTCCTTTGAAAATTTTGACTTGACAAGGACGCATTTGGGTGATCCCAAAAACGTCACAACTATGATGTCAAATGTTTTACCTAGAACAAATGGCGTTGAAGATGTTCAAGATCATATCCGGAGTTAAGATTTCTTTCTTTCATCAATTCCGATATAAAAGGGGGAGATGCATTTTAAATTATTCATTTGACGTTGAAATGCTATGAAGGAGTAGTCAAGGTCACCACCATCTTGATTTCTCAAAACCCTACAACTTTTGTTTGAAGCTTTTTTCCAGGTAGTTTTCGAAATATTGTGAAATAATTGGGGAGATTAAGATGGCAACATATTTTGAGGAATTTTTATTGATGTCGATACATCTGATGTTTTTTTTTTTATATACTCCAACCACCATGAAGGCCTAAGGCCTAAACACCCATGGCGTACCGTGGGGCTGTGTAGGATAAGACACAAAATACCTTTTTGAAAATGATCGATGAGAAAAAGAAGCAAATGTTCATGGTCTCTGTCACTTTAATTGCCAAAAACACTATTCCGCAACATATCCTTATAAAATTTGTGTCAACTTCTGGTCTGATCTTTTATCTTTTCGTAATATCAGTTTATTAATGTCATTTGTTTAGTTTTTAGCAAGACTAACGAAACCTACGATTGTCTATACATGAGACGCTAATACGCTGCAATTAACAAAGCATATTCGTCCTGCGTTACGCCACTGGAAGGTTGGGCTATTTCAGCAGGCAACTGGCAAGGCTTACTGAGCAAGATATTTTTGTTATGCCAATAATTAGGCTTTATTTTTATTTGTTTCCTTAAAATTAATTTCTCTTCCAGTCATTTTAACATACACGCGTGTACATATACGGAGAAGACAAATTGACAGTTCAAAATTGAAATTCGCTCCCTCCTTTGTTTCAGAATTGCGCCTTTTGCGCTGTGTCACAAATGCTCCATGGGGGTCAACGGTTGGACGGTCTGCCGTTGTATAAGGACGTCTCTAATTTGTTTATCATTCGGGGCACAAAATACTACAAAAATTGCTAAATAATATAACATGTTTCTGACGGGAAATGAAAAATCTTTGTATTTGCTTTACGTACAGCCTAGCCTAAACTGTCACCTGCTATAGGCAGGGGCGTTGCGATATTAAAACACAAGGGGACAGTATCAGGAAAAATGGCGAGTCAATGACGAAGAGACGTTTATATGATACTTGTTTATACCTTAAAACCATAATTATACCTACTACAGGAGATTTTGAAGATTGAGGACTTAAAATCCTACTTTCTTTAAAACTTTATAAAGCCAAAAACTTTCCGTGTTGTAAACCCTCTATTTCACGAGTACCTATCCATCATGTTTTGACGTCTACTGAGGTGAACATCTGATCTGCAAGTTACATTTTTGTGTTAGTTTGCAACGTGGGCTATAATGAATCGGGTGTAAATATAGCAAAAATTTGTTTGTAGCGTTTTGTTTTTTTGTAAGCAAATGAACTTTTCTAAATAAAACAGTTGTAAGCAAGTGAAAAATGAACCTGTAGCATACAAAAAACCAAAACAATATACGGCTTTGTCTACCTGGTCTTGACGGATGCGTTAAAATTATGTGTCATTTGTCGATATGGGGAATTTTGAAATAGTACTAAATAAACAGCTGACATTCTACTCTAATGGGTACTCGTGAAAGAGACAATATACAAGTATTATATCAATATATATGAGTCTCGCCGTCAAGCATATTTCTTACGTCTCAAAACTATGAATGCATAATAATATACATAAAGCTTCTGTAAGGCCTTTGATTTTAAGTACACTGCCTCATATCCTCATTAGGACATATAATGGTGACAGGGATCGAGAAAACTTTTCAACGAAAGATCCTATTGTTCATTACATTGAATTTTTTTTTGTGATTTTGATAAAACAGCGAATAAATGAACGCCTTTTTTAAATTTGACTTCATCAATTAAAACATTGATATACAAATAAAATATCATGTAGACTCTCTCCACTTGCACGTGTTCCAGTATTCATATAACTACGTGAGACACCATAACTGCGCACCCCAGTTCATCAGTCTAGGAACAGTCATTCAACCTTACTGATAACAAAGCATCTACATGTTTGCCATTATCATATATAAAGATTCGTCGAACTTTTGTATTAAAACAACGCAAAACGGGAAACGCATGAAAAGCTCTAAATTCGTAGCAAACTCCTGATTCCTGCCCACTCACGAGACTGGCGAGTTTTTTCCGCGTTCGATTAAAAATACACACGTGAACTAAACTGCTCGCACAAAAATAAGCGTAATATGCGCGGAATTTTACAATACATCATTTGATGACATACCGCGATCCGTGACCAAAGTATTGTTCAGAACAATTTTTAAAGATGCCAAAATCAAATGCAAATAATGCCGCTTGAAATGCAAAAAATGAAATGAAGCACACGTGTGTATGTTGTTTAAAGTAAGAAATGTGAAGTAATTTTTATAGTTTTTGTTTGTGAGTAACTTGGTTTCATAATTTGATGTCAATCCCTAATTTTCCTACTTGCTTTGTATCATGTAATACTGAAATCATTGGAAATGTCATGGTTCGTGGTTGGAGAAAAGGGAATATTCTATACTTAGACAAAACTGTATTTTTGCGGGAATGAAATCTTTACAACCATGATCGTATATATTGTTCTCGCTTTCCCGCTCGTGTGTTGGAAAAAGGTGTACATATAAGAAATTCGTTACATTGAAGAACCAAATTATCTGTATTTCACGCAAATCATCTGTTTTTGGCGCCGAAGGAATGAGTAATTTGATTTTTATTGCGAAAACCGAAATGGCATGTGCTTTATAGAGGGTTTTTAGTTCTCTTGTTTTGGTGCTTTGAAGTATGGAAGTTAGATGGTAAGTATTCATAGAAAAACGTAAAAAGATTCATAATATACTTTTGGAAAGCAACATAATACTTCAGAAATACAGTGCGCAGTGTGATTAAAATTTTCAAAAGTGTGAGTAGAATTGACAAGCAAAACTGCTTCATCTACGTGTGGTTCTGTTAAAAATCCTGAGCAACCATACTGAATGTAACCCTTTGACACCACTTAATAAAAAGTAATAGTTCGTTTGGCCTGTACATTTGAATTGTCCAAAGAATTATCCTTCGAATTTTTGCTCTGGATTCACACTAGATAAATGGTTCAAAACCTTATAATTCAGTATCTTTGATATACAGGGTGACTTTGAAGTTGAGTCATTAATTTTCAGATAATGATTGTAGAAGGAAGATAAACCAAAATATGTATGTGTGTAAAAATAAAAAAAAAAATTTTTTTACCTTGTTTTATGAAGTATCCTCCCGACAAGTATTTCAGTGCGGACCTGTATTTGATCGTGAGGTCCCCTGTGAGGTCTTAAGTCACCTGATTCACGAGCCCGTTGTACTACATTAACAAAGGCACGAGGGGTTGGTTGCACTCGATTGGGAAACCGATCCGCATAAACATGTGCCATTTTTTATTTCGTTTGAGCCACGCAACAGACACTATTCACACGCGAACACCGACTGACACTGACTGTATGTATAACTGAACTGAATAAAATAATTGTAAAAACATCGTTCCAAATTCTTTCGCTTTTTTGTTTCCGATGCGATGAACCGATAAGGCGGATTATATCCGTTGTTGCCAAACACGAGCACATGATATTATTATTGAGACAGGGCGGTACTCAAACTTCCAAAGGGCTATAACTTTGTTACTTTAATTTTACCAGAAAAATGGTAAAGGAAAAAAACATTTATTTTGATCAGATCTACTCACTGTTAAAATAAATGACTCAACTTCGAAGTCACCCTGTATATTATGAGACGTAAAGTATAAGTGTACATGCAATTCGCTGTCAGCAGTTCATAAATTATGGTAGGCACAAGTTCGCCCTTCTTATAAAAAAGTACATTACATGTACAACAAATGAATCAAATGTATCAAGTCAGTCAAACAGGCCCATACAATTATATTAGTCCCCATCCGTTTACGTATACGATCAATGTTGCGGTCAGTGAGCCTGGTCTAGTGGCGGCGGCCAGCTCGCGACAGGTTTACTCTAGCTTCGTTGCCGTCGACATGGGTATTGAATTGGGAAATCTGTGCGTGAAATATGTCTAACAGCTGCGTAAAATTACAGGAGCTAAACGTGCATAAACGAAAGCAAAAAACTGAGCCTCCGGACCTCCTCTCCATTCATTTTTACCACTCAAAATTTTTTTCCAAAAATTAGCAGGAGTCTATGGAACGTCAAAAAACGAAGTTTGAGCAAATTTTATTTTTTCCGCTTTTTGACCAGTCTCGCTGCCACTGGATCTATTTTCAACGCCTACATTCTTTTTCGACCATGGCATAGTGATAACTACCTATGTGTCAACATTTTATCAAAATTCAAGAACTGTTTTCCGAGTTATAACGGTGGAAATAGTTTTCGAACAGACAGACAGACCGACGGAAATTAGCGACATAGTTCTTTGTGATCTACATGTTATGTTACATCCAAAAGCCATCTGATGGGCAGCAACTATAGAAATTTGGGTATTAGGTCCGCAGAACTCAAAAAATCATACTACATCACTGCCCAGTATCCCCACACGTCCCTAACTTTTTTCGCTGAGTATAAGTAGATGCGTTTCAGTATGTTGCGGCCAATCAACCTCCAGAGCGGGCATCCGTTGCCGTGGTCGTCTTTT